GGGGGGGGGGGGGTCTTGTGATCCTTTCCAGGCTGCTGAGGGGGTCCGCGGGAGGGGCGCGAGGGGGGGGAGTACTCATGTAAACACACGCCATATTTAGAGTCGCTCGCATCCCTGCAACGCCGGAACGGACAATCCCGGTTGTATATGCGGTGGATTTGTTGTGTGAGGACACAGGCTTCGTGTCGAAGGAGACGCACGTCGTTAATACTTCATTCGTTCACTCGCGGAGCCAGGCAGTCTTCTTTCGTGAGATCTGTAGTGGGAAGAGAAGGACAGAGAGACAGACAGAAAGAGCGAGAAACATGACCGCCAACGAGAGACGGCCGGTTGAATGAAAGATCCACGAATTCCCGCTCCTCACCTCAGGAGGTGGGCTTGGAAGAGTCGAAAATCCAGAACGGGGTCTCTTGTTACTCAATGATCAACAGTTGCTCCGCTCCGATCACATCTTCCTGTAACGTCGTCTCTGCACCTGTCGTCCACAGCAGTTATTTATTCACGTTTTTGCCATCACGTCAGTGCTGGCCGATTTGGGTGGCGATTGTTTCTCTAACGCGTGGAGCACGGAGCAGCGCAGACGTTTTCTGTCCCCCCACTTTTTCGTTCGAGGACGGTCGATCATCAAAAATGACCGTTGTCACTGAGCAAGCACCGCCACCAAAGATACGCCAGCTGATATACACTCGCCCTATACCCCCCCCCCCGCCTAAAGTCAACAGCAGTCCCAACATTTAGCCGCCATCAGCACGAAAACCCCCAAAATGGCGTGCGTGTGTTTTCTGTCGACTCACTCCTCGCGCCAATCGGCGCACTGAACCACCCTGCCGCCGCGCCGCCCCTCCAGGGTGCGATGTGCAAGTGCTTCTTGGCGAACAGCCACCCCCGGATCCCCGGGCCCGTTGTGTTGAAGATGGCCATCGAGAATGGACCCCGGGAGGCCGAGAGAGGTCTCAACAGCGAGCTGTCCTTGCTGCAGAACTTGACGCATCCCAACCTGACGATGGTGCTGGGAGCCGGGCAGACTCCGAAAGGAAGAACGTGAGAAGGGGGGGGGGGTTCGAAAGGGGGTGGTAGTTTTTAGAAGTATTTGGCTATCGTCACCGACCAGGACGAGATGCTCCTTGTCGGGTATTGTACCATCGCCGGCTGACTGAGCACCACAGAAACTGTTTTCTCTTGACAGTCCCGGTAGGCGCGCGCGCATAATTTCTTTTTGGCCGTGTCGAGGCTGCTACTGGTGTTACCACACTGTTGCTGCTGCTGCTGCTGCTGCTGCTGCTGCTGCTGCGAACGAGCTATTAACCTGCCCTTTCTCGCATATTCATGTACCTTCACCCCCTCCCACGGTGCTCTAACAACTAAGGAATATTTCCAAGTACATTGGTACCTTCCCTCCCCCGCCGGTGGTCCAACAACTAATACGGCATGCAATACATGAGGACCCCCCCCGTCCCCCCCGGTGTTTACCATCGGGGTTGGGTTTTCGTCGCTTGGCAACGACGTTGTAAAACAAGCCGCCCCACCCGGTTTTGCCATCGGGATTGGGTTTTCGTCTCTTGGCAAAGACGTTGTAAAACAAGCCAATTCACTTCGTGAACTCGGCAACCAGGTTACCGTTTTTTTTTTACCTCCGTGTTTTTTTTTGGCGGTAACCATAATGGTGGTCGAGTAGATCATGTTGTGCGGGGTGGAGAACCCTCGCTCCGCGCAAGGGGGATGATCGCACCACGTTGTGTTAAAATGGTCAAGCACCCTCGAGGCAGTTACACAGTGCTTACAACTGTCTCTGGAAGTGAAAGCACCAGAAAGTAAATTAATTCATACGCAGCTGTCATCCGTACGCAAGGAAGTAAGCATAAGATGCCGAACACCCTTAGCAGGATGCAGCTCACCCTTCATGCGACTCGCCGAATATCTCACGGCGCTTCGCGCTTGGTGATGTGAGAGCCTGGTCCGGTGAGAACCCGGCGTGCTCCGTCCCGGCTTTGTAGGGATGCGAGGTCAATGGTCTGACGATTACGGCATGCACGACTATGAGTACCCCCCCCCCCCCACCCCCCTCCCCCGGTGATGTCGCCGTCGCAAATCAGCTTCGTCGTCATGGAATACCTCGACCGCGGGACGCTAAGGGCAAGGATGGACGCGGCCAGGGGCGGGCTGGGGTTCTGGCCTGGCGTCCGACACGCCGTGGAGCTGGCCTCGGTGATGGCGTACCTTCACGACGACGCTATGCCGGGAATGTGCATCTTGCACCGAGACCTCAAGCCGGACAACCTGGGCTTCCGGGGCAATGTCATGAAGCTGGTGGGTTGATTGGCATCCGTCCCTTCCTGAAGACTTTTTTTTTTTTCGGTCCTTTTGACACCTCACCCCCGTTGAATGTGAAATATGTCCCTCCGTGCGATTACACAAATACGTCTATGTAGCATAGTCTAGTTTCGTTGCGAGCCGCTGCTCTCTCGTGCCTCCGATTTTCTTTCGGGGTGTACGTTTACACACCGATTCTTGTCGTTCTTTTGGCTCCCCGACGGGATATGATGTGGTAGCCGGCACGACCCGAGAGTCTCGCGCCATGCGGAAAGCTGCATTCAAGAGCTACCCGCGCTGGACCCTCGGCATACTGTTCTGGAAATCAAGCTTTTTGTGGTCCTCTCTCAGGTTCTCTACTCGGGTTTGGGTGACTTGATAATCAGCTGTGGTCATCATGACCAAGAAATCACAAATGGCATGCGTGGCAGCATGTCCCTTACTTCCCTCACAACAGGCAGGAGTCTCTACCTCCCACAACTCTCAGTCTTTCGTTCATTCCTGAGGGTCCCGGTCGGGAAGAATGTACGCACAGTGAGCCCGGCGCGTAGCGCGCACTGCGGTGTGCACTGCTGTGCCAAGAGAGCTACCCGCACGGACACGGACGCGGACACGGACACGTACACTTTCGTCCCCAAGTACATAAATGGTACGAAGTACGTTCTTTCTTTCTGTCGATCCGAAAGTATTTTTGTGGCTACGAGCTTCAACTCACGTGTGCGTGTGTGTGAATCTGTTCCTAGGAAATATGTATCTAGATATACCCCCCTTTGCACAGCATAAGCACATATCTACTCAAGTCTCAAGTCTATCTTTTGTACATGACTTACGAGATGGCGCACAAGCTCTTAAAGCCATACACGGTGTGTTGTGGACTGCTGCTGTAACGCTTCTGCTGCTGTAGAGCCAAGCCCGGAAGCATCTCTTCCTGAAAATGGAAAGGGAAACAAACAAACGCAGCTTGCTGGATTCCGAGGCGGTATGTCTGATGCTGCTGCCGTTCAGCACGGCCATGGCATCAGCCAGACTTCGGCGCAGAACATACGCTTCGGCACACACACATGCAAAATCACCGTCTCGTGTGGATGCGTGCCCCTAGATCAGCGCTGTGCAACAACTTCCCGCACCATCACCATGCGGTGAATTCTTTCAATATCCGACTGCGAACCTATGCGAACTTACATCTACCTGTTGTATGACAATTATTACCGTGTCTGCGTACAGCAGCAGTACAGTATCTATTCGATCCTCGATGTACTTCCACCACTTGCCCGTGTCCTCAACGACTGCACAGCAGCCAGCATACCTTCAAGCACTTCCTTATACCTTTTAACCTACCTCCTTCCACTTTTTTACCTACGGGTATCACGCGAGACCGCCCCCCGTAGGGAGGGCGGGCGAAGCACCCTTGTATATATTTTTTTTCGTCCTTTTGACACCTCACACCTGTTGGGTTGACATCGGTCCCTTTGTAGGCCCTTCTTGTTTTTTTCGGTCGTCTTGAAACCTCACACACTCGTGGGTTGAATCTGTCCCTCCTTGTACACTTCAGACACTGTTCTAGTTTATATTTTGCTCTCACGCCCCCGAAGATTGACCGGGTGGATACGGCCGTCTTCGTCGGTGGGATTTTTTTTTATTTTTTTTCTCGGTTCTGCCGTCTGGTTCCGTGCTCGGCTTTGCGCTGGTCGGGTTGTCGTTGTCCCGTAACTTCTTTGTGGTATGAGGAAAAATGAATACACACAGAAAGGCTACCCGTTCGAGATGTACCCACAGTCGAACGGGATGTGGTGGGAGTCTAATCAGTGGGTGAAGGAAAAACCGGCTAGGTACTGGACTTAATTCGAGTCTTTTTTTAAGTCTTACACACCCGAAGGTTATGGGGGCTCCCGAGGGGGAAGCCATCGTGGAGGTTGTCTGTTGGTCGTATTGCTCCACGCTTGTGTGTGTGTGCGTTTGTCCGTTGTCATGACCGATGCCGCCGTCGTTCTTTTTGTTGTTTTTTTCGCTGTCTTTTGGTTTTGGTTTTGCGCACGCAAGAAGAACTGAGCGAACGGGGTCGTGTGCGAGGTGTTTTTTTTTCTTGTTTGCCGTTGTGCTTTGCTTGCTGAGTGTTGCCACACCATTCTCGAACCAAGCTCTCACCGTCCGTAGGTTATGTATTTCAAAACCGAACTAACGCTAGAGCTCGAAGGTGTTGGGCAAGTGGGGGCCTCCATCCTGATGCGCTTCCAGCCCAAGGAAGCCTTCACCACAGAAATTCTTCTCGGCCTTTACAACTCAAGCACGACTCTGGTGTTAGAAAGCACTTCAGTCCATCGGCCTCCACACTCAAGGGCTTTGTAGTGGTAGCTGCGTCTGCTGCTGGCTCTGCCGCAATACGAACGACTGCGTCATGGTGCTGTCTGCGCTTAGCTGTGCACTTACCGATTCTGCCGCTACCGTTCCTCGCTGTGCTCCCGTCCGCGTGCTCCCCTGCGAATACGCGTCGCCCTCATGGTGCCTCGCTCTCCTCGTCCCATCACGTGTTGGCGTGGCGTCGTGATTCTGGAACAGTTCGGTAAGGCGCTCATCACTCATTCGTTGCTTCAAGAGGGAGTTCGAACTACTAGTGGTGTCTTGTCGTGTGCGGCTACCGCGTGTTCTTGTTGGAGGGAGGGGAAAGAGTGCAAGCACCTGGTGACCCGGGTGCTTGTAGTGGCCACAAGGCCCCACGCTATACGCTCGTGTAGCCTCGGGGTTGGCCTGCGCTTGGTAGTAGAGGGATCACTGTGCGTGTGCAGCAGCAGGGGAGGAAGCTCGTGATGGCGCAGCAGGTAGGGAGGGCTCGTCCCCCGGGAGAAGGAAGCGCGCGGAAAACCATCGACTCAACCATCCAAACTCACCCTTCTGAGACGAACCAGGACAGCTACAGATGTGTGTGTGTATAACGCGCGAGACTAACATCGATCTCTCTGCTTTTTGTTTCCTCCCCGGCCTGCCTGCCCTCTCTTATTTGCTGGCGGCGTGCGCGAACGGTCGTGTCGTGTCAATTCCGTTTCCTTTGGGGACCTTAAAAAATACTAAAAAATCACGAATGAACGGTGGGGTCGAAAACCGCAAGACCTGGGCTTGGCCAAGGTTATCAAGCATTCCGAAGCCGGGGTCGATGAGTTTTACAGGATGAGCGGCGAAGTTGGGTCCCTGCGGTACATGGCACCAGAAGTTGCTTCTCAGTATCCGTGAGTACGCCCGTACAACTAAATACGGTAGAGACAGCTGGCTCGAAGGTGCAACGCGTTGTGTAGGTATGTCAGTTTTGGCGAGAGACAGAAGAGGGGCCTTTGCCTTTGTGTGTGTGTGTGTATGTGTTTTTTTTTGTATTTTCTTGTTTGTTTTGGGTCTCGGCATGTATCACTGCGCCCGTCAAGTGTGCGAGGCGTGACGTCATGTGTCACCTCCGCTCGGGCGGTCTCGTTTTTTCGGTGTGCAAATGTCGGGCCAATCCTCGGATGGTCCCCCCCCCCCCCCCCCCCCCCCCCCCNCCCCCCCCCCCCCCCCCCGAGGCACCCTGTCGCCAACTACCATACATGCGCTGATTATCTTTCTGCCGTGCCGCTGTGGCTGCTATTGTTGTCGTGCTGGGCGGTGGTGCTTGGCCGCCATGTTTGTCGTTCTCGCCGGGGCGTGCGGTATTCCATTCCGCCCTTCTCCTCTCCCCCACAGGTACAACGAAAAGGCCGATGTCCACAGCTTCGGGGTGGTGATGTGGGAGCTGGTGACGGGGTGGCTCCCCTACGCGGGCCTGTCGCCCGAGATGTTCATGTTCCAAGCTGTGCAGGTGTGCGTCCTCTCCCCGACTAACCTTGGGTGATTCATCCCCTGTATGGGGATGCGCGAGTTCTTAGCAGTGTTTTCAATGACTTCAATTACCCCTCCCCCACCCCCCCCCCCCCCCCCCCCCCCCCCCCCCCCCCCCCCCCCCCCNTGTAAAACAAGCCGATTCACTTCGTGAACTCGGCAACCAGGTTACCGGTTTATTTTTACCTCTGTTTTTTTGTTGGCGGTAACCATAATGGTGGTCGACTAATTCATGTTATGCGGGGTCGAGAACCATCACTCCACGCAAGGGGGATGGTCGCACCACGTTGTGTTAAAATGGTCAGGCATCCTCGAGGCAGTTACACAGTGCTTACAACTGTCTCTGGAAGTGAAAGCACCAGAAAGTAAANTGACTCGCCGAATATCTCACGGCACTTCGCGCTAGGTGATGTGAGAGCCTGGTCCGGTGAGAACCCGGCGTGCTCCNACGCCGTACCTCATTGGCCTGATAATCAATGGTCGATGGGGCAGTGTGTAGGCCCTCCCAAGCACAGGGAGCGAGAACGAGAGAGACAACAGGCAGCGTCGTCTGAAATACGTTCGTAATGGCAATCCCGTGAAAAAAGGGTGTTCGACTTTCGAGTATCGGATTGTGTATCTCGAGGTACCGAAAGGGGCGGGAGGTGCGACGATCTTACAGAAATTGCGCCAAGGCTCCCTGCCGGAGGAAGTGGTAATGCTCAAATTCATTCCAACCGCAAGAAAGCTACAAGACCCACACGAGAGCACACTTTCCTCCCTCCTTCGCTACTTGTTTCGCCATCCCGGCGCGATCAATGTACAAGTCGCGCCAGCTTCGAGGCATGTCCAAATATAGTGGTTCTGCAGGATGACGAGTCATTGGCTAGTCAGTTCTGCCGGGCGCCGGCGTTGAATCCCCCCATGCACACCCTCACGTATCCCCCTTAATCCTCGCACACTTTCCCCTGCTCCGACCTTCCCTCCTGGTTTGTCCCTATCCTCGCCTTCGGACGGACACGTGATGGCTGCTGCCTGCAGCACGGACAGCGACCCCTGATGCAGTTCGGGTGGGACCCGGACTTCAAGCGCCTCCTGGCTTCCTGCTGGGCCGAGGACCCACGGGACCGCCCTGGATTCGCGTACATACATGTGAGGGAGAGAACATATAGTTGGCGCTCGACGGCGAGGATGGTAGGTGGCGTGCTGAACCCGGTCAGTCCGTACCTCTGAGACATCTTTCCGCTGTGTTTTCGGCGATCTCACCTTGTCATGTCCGTGAAGGTAGTTTTTTCTCCACAGGGGGGGGAACAGGCGCACAACAAGTGACTCTTTGGCCTGGGTGGGATTGCGGTGACACACGCGTGTTGACAGCGTTTTTGGAAGTCACGGGTATGTAGGCCGCCGTCCCGCGCGATATTTCGCGTAGCCCTGATCATGATTCCGGGTCCCAGCCACCCTCTCTCAACGCGTGTAGGTCCCACCGATAGCCTCCTTGCTTTTTTAACACGAACGCCGGACCGTATAGGAAACCCTGGAAGCCCTGCTGGTGGAGAAGGGCGGCGCGGCGGCAACGGCGGCGGCGGACACCGTCGGCGGCGCCACCATGTCGTCGTGCTGCGGCCCCTCCTCCGCTTCCTCGTCTTCGCGGTCTTCTGGGAGCGGCGGCGGGTTGTTGTCCCGCATGTTTTCTGGGCGGAAAAAGGGCAAAGCGGTCCCCCCCTCTGGAGGCGGCGGCGGCGGCGGCGGCGGGCGAGGGTAGGGACGAGGGCGAGCGATTTAAGACATTAAGAAGAGGCGGGAGGTGTTTGTCGGGGGAATAGATGGCAACCTGTCTTAAACAAGACTAGTTTACTTTGTGAGTGTGGGTGGAGGGGGGTCCTGGTGACCAGGAGGTGGTCGTTTGCCGCAGCAGTGCTAAGTGTCGCGAAGAGCGTGTTTCGAAGGTCGGGCCTTTCTCTGTCACGCTCGCCACTGAATTGGCTGCGGGCAGGGGGGTTGTCCTTGTCCCGCGAATCCACAAATTTCGCGGATTATTCCGACATGATGAGTGGATGAGAGTTTCGCCATCGTCCTCGATGAAACATAGAAAGATAATGAGGTTCGTGAATGAGGTTCGTGGGGAGGCGGGGGGCGGGGGGGGGCTCATGTAAACACATGCCGTAGTCGGTAGACCATTGACCTCGCATCCGTGCAATGCCGGGACGATGCCGGGTTTTCGGTGGCCCAGCCTACGTTTCACAAGGATGAGACCAGATGCTGGTCAGCATCCTTGCGTTTGCTGTGCCAAACCAGATGTGCCATGGGTTGGGTTGGGGGGATAGAGGCGGGCTGTCTGGAGGATGGTATGCTTTCTTGTTGCCGAGTAAACACTGAAATTGAGGCACGTTTTTATCTTGGGGGAGGTATGTACAGGATGTCTGGGAGGTGCAGAGGCGAGTGGGGGAGGAAGGGGGACGGGAGGGTTCATGTACTCAAGAGGCAAGCGTGCGGACGTATGTACCAGAATCTTGGTGTGCTTCAAAGTGGCGAAACGATAACACACCGCCTTCTTTTTTTTAATGTCTCCCGCGCGGCGATAGCAACGCGCAAACATGTGAAGGCAGTGCCGCCTAGTTTTCGGACACCGGTGTGTTTTCTCCTTTCTTGTGCCCTCGTTGTCCCACCCTCCCATCCCATTTTGTGGTATGCTGCCCCCTTTTTGGTGTTAATTGCGTGATTTATCCTTGTAACTGCTGTGTGGCTATTGAGTAAGAAAATCTGTGATAGACAAAACGTTTGTTTCTTCGAGCATGTAGGAACTTTGTCCCTGTTGGTCTGGAGTTCTGAGCCGTTTTGTCTATTCCCATGGAACACGGGCGGCATTTGCTTCTGTTTGTTTTGTTGTTTGTTTCGTGGCGTACACGTCGTTGCTCTCCCACGCCGGCGTGTTCCTTCGGGTCTGTGCTAGCTATAATGTTATCCATGTAGTGTTTTGTCTTTGGACCTCATCGTCATCGTCTAATCTCGTGGCTTGGTTTTGCGCGTGCTGTGGTACCCACATGTGATCATGTGTGTATGGTATACGTGATGGCAGCAGCTTCACAACTGCAGCATTATTGCTGTTCCTTGATAATTGGCAAGGTTGCTGGTGATGTTGGTAAGTGACGGCGGCAATTTTTTTGCAACGTATGCTTGGGGCATTCCGACAGAGCATCGATTTGTCTGCCACTGTTTCGGTTCACCCTGTGATGACGTCATACATACTGCCTCTGCCTGCGTCGCGCGTGCGTATGCAGATGATGTTGTCGGTAGTTGTAGTGCCATGGTGAAGAAGCCCAGCGTGACCAGCAGGGATCGATGCATGACGCCTGCCGTTGTTTTCCGCGCTCTTTTCCGAAGGGTCGTGTTGATATCCGTCCGCGAGGTAGACCAGGGGCAACGATGTGGTGGGTAGGGTTGGGTGTGAAACAAAGGGTGTGGGAGACATCGACACGGCAGTACTGTAGGTAAAATGCTGTACCTCCCGTACCGGATTATCGTTGGCAATCACACAGCCCTTTTGGCTCTTTGGCCGCGTGCCAGCGGTGCTCTTTTCGCTTCTTTGTCCAGGTGGTGACGGATTCGTCGTTCACTCTGCCGCTTGCCCAACAAGGTAGGAGAGAGCAGTGGGTAGGTCGAGCAAGACCTGGTTGGTTGATTGGTTCGAGTGGTGATGTTGAGGTTGTAGTCCGCGCCGGTTGGGTTTGCGGAGACCTTGTGTATTGTGCGTAAAAAGGACACGGCGTGTTGGTTTCAGGACCGACCGTTTGGGGCGCGGGGGGCTCAGCTCCGCAGAGCCATGAATGGCTTGGCGGTGCGAAGATAGATGTGGCAGTACGCTGATCGTACGACGAAGAGGTTTATCATCCGTTTGTGCTTCAACAACGTAAGACTGTGTGGTGACTCTGATGGGCATAGAAGGTAGGAAGGCCGCACGATTGTACTGGAGTGAGCGGTGTGTGGTGATTGTAGTAGAAGGCGGTCGGGTATCTACGAACTCGATGCCATACGTTTTAGTCTAGCCAATTAATGGGTTAACAGAGGGAGCAACCGTTACAGCTGCAGGCGCCGCCCCCTGCGACGAGCAGCATCTACGTGTCATTTTCAGCTTCGGTGTCTTGAAAGTGCATGCCGCTGTACGTTACTTGAGGTGCACATTTTTTCATCGCGGGATTATTAAAGGGGGTGAGAACGAAAGTAACTAAAAAAACGCATTGATTGGTAGAAAGAGAGCACAGGAAAGGGCGAGAGTATTGAATAGTCACTGCTGCAAACGCGTGCAGTCGACTTGCAGGTACCCCTGCGTGATTGCTACCACTGAATTACGATTAGATTATGGAGAAGAGATGATAAAAAGAGCGGTTATGTGCGATGCTGGACGGACGGGTATAACGAAGGGGCCGGAGGGCGGGGGGGGGGGGGGGGGGGGGGGGGGG